ACTGCTTTCGACTGACCTTTCTAATGGTTACTATAATATGTCTAGTGTATATGTGTAAATTGCTAACTCATTATTGGTATTACTTGCTCTAACTTTAGTTTTTGGACCGGCGCAGCGAAAACTTGCTCGAGAGCGACTCGCGGATCGAGAACGACTCGCGCGAGACGGACTCGCGAGACGTGTCTTCCGACGCCATCGACGAGTTGTGCGTCAGCGCCATCGACTCGCGCCCAATCGCAATCGACTCGCGATCCGCACCCGACGACGACCGCGTCCGGCGCTTGTAGACGCACGTGTCTTGGTCGACGCGAATGCCCCACTGAAGGTAGTCGGTGTTGGTCGCGGCTTCCAGGAACTCGTTGAGCTTTTGGATGCGCTCCTGGATGATGCGATCGGTAAAGTTGCCAAAGAGCTGCTTGTTGGGGAGGTCCGGAATGTCCTTGCGGCGGTACCCGTTCTTGGTCTGGAGCGTCGTCGCGAGGTTCCGGAACGTCGAGTAGCGGTGCCACACGAAGAGCGTGCCACGGCTGTTGGTCTCGATCTGGAGCTTGTACTCGACAAACTGCCGGCCTTCGCGGAACGTGATGCGGCTGTCGACGACCTTAGCGCTAATGAGCGACACTTCCTGGGCGCGGACGAGCTTGCTCTGGAGCGTGAGCACTTGGTGCTTGAGGCGCTCGTTCTCCCGCAGCAGCTCGGCGTCCGCATGCTCTGCCACGTACGCGGCCATCTTGGCGCGAAGCGACTCGTTCTCGGCTTGGATGACGCGGTTGTGTGTCAAAGCGGCCATCGCCGCTTTCTGCGCTTCGACCGCCGCGGCCTCGGCCTCGGCCACGCGCGCGGCCGCCGACGTCAGAATGCTCTGCGACGACGCCGAGAGTCGGTCGCCGTCGTCGGAACTCGTGTCGACCGGTTCGTCGTCGACGTTGCTCGAGGTCCGGGTTTTGTCTTCTTCCATGATCTTGATCTCGGTCGCGCGCGTCGCCTTGTGCGCAGCTTGCGCCTTGGCTTCGGCGGCCTCGGCAGCAGCCTTGGCCTTTTGAAAGGCGACTTGGCGCTCGTGCTCAGCAGCCTTGCGCGCGCGCTCCGCTTCGACGATGACGACAAAGCGCTTGCGCGCCTGCATGCCACGGACGCGCGTCTGGAGGCGGATCGTACCGGACTTCATGCTGCGGTACGCCTTCTGGGCCGTGAACCGACGCACCGCCGTCTGCACGACGAGGGCCGACTGCCGCGTGGCAAGGAAGCGCTTCCGGAGCACATATCCACGCATATACGCCTGGATACGCGTGGCGTACTGGCGCAAGACGACCGCGCGCTGGTCCTCCAGATGATGAAAAAGACCGGACGAGAAGTAGACCTTGGTGCGGCCGATCGCAAAGCGCGCGTTGCGAGACGAGGACTCGGAGATGCCGAGGATCTCGAGGAGGCCGTGGACCATGGCCTCGGGCGGCGCCGACCGGAGCTTGGACGGGCAAATGATGGCAAAGCGAGACGTAAACTCCTTGAGCGAGAGGCGGTTCGGGAACGCCGCGCGACTGATGCGAATCGCGGCAATGACGCCGGCGCACCGGAGCTGATCGACGACCATGTGCCGGTCAAACTCGGTCGCGCTCTTGTTGGCGTTGGGCTTGATGCAGCGGACGTACTGCGTCGACGTCTTGGCGATCTGGTCCATGAGCTCGCCGAGCTGCTTGCGGAACGAGCCCGCGATCGTGTTGCCGACGAGGAAGCCCTGGCGGCGCGACGGCGGCTTGGCATTCTTGTCCTTGGAGACGCCGCCCTTGGCGAGCTCAGGGAAGACGTCGCGGATGAACGACGACTGGCTCGACGCGAGGAGCTCCATGAGGTCCGCGGGCAGCGTGTCCTTGTTCTTGTCGAGGAACTTGGTGCCGTCGTACGTCACGTCGCCGGCGTAGTGGAGGATCTTGAACTGCATCGGGTTGGTGCGGATCTTCTCATAGTTCTTGTGGTCCGCGAACGACTCGTTGACCTTGTTGACAAACATGCGGTCGTCGCCCTTGGGCTGGAGACCCGTCTCGTTGAGCATGTCGACGATGCCGAGCTTGCCTTCGATGAGGTCGAGGATCGGCTGGTTGTCCTCAAACCTCACCAAGTCCAACGGGATGCCCTCTTCAATGTACTCGGCCTGGACGGTCTTGAAGATGTCGCTGTTGAACTTTTGCTGCAGCTTCTCGTTGGCGTAGTTGATGCAGAGCTGCTCAAAGCCGTTGTGGTCAAACGACTCGAAGCCAAAGATGTCGAGGAGACCAATGTGCGACGAGACGTTCTTGGTCGAGCAAATGGCCCGGTTGATGCCCCCGACGAGCCAGTCGAAGAGGCGCGAATAAATACCCTTGGCGAACGCGTCGCGGAGGTCAAAGGCCTGGTCGACCTTGAGCGGGATCGTGAACGTCTCACCACGCGTCGTCATGGTGCGCTGGCAGAGCGTCTTGGTGAGCGCTTCCGGCGCCGTCTTGAGAAGCGCAGCGACGGCGGCGAGGTTCTCGGACGTCGAGACTTGGCTGCTCTCGGCGTTGACCGCCGTGAACGCGACCTCGCCGAGGTTCAAGATGGCCGAGACGATCTCAAAGATACCGTGCTGCTCGCGGTCGTCGATCCCGATCGTGTCCATGGCATCCTTCGTCTCTTGGAGAAACACCGAGTCGTCCGTGTTGTCGACGCGCGAGCCCGCACCGACCTTGACAAAGTTGTAGTCGGCGACGTTGCCCTCGAGGAAGAGCGTCTTCTTGAGCTCCGAGGCCAGCGAAAAAACTTGGTAGAAGATGTGGTAATTGCGCTCGCCCTCGGTCTGGCCCACGACGCGGCTCTTCTCGAGCAAGTACGTCTCGCAGCGCGCGCCAATGAGGTACCCACTCGCATCAAACTGCAGCTGCGCAAACTTGCCAAAGCGCGAACTGTTGTCGTTGCGCTTCGTCTTGGCGTTACCAAAGGCTTCGAGGAGCGGGTTGGACTTGAGCACTTGGTCGATGACGGTCGAGCCCTTCTCGCCGCCGCCAGACACGGACGCCAAGTGGTGCATCATGATCTTGACCGTCTCGGTCTTGCCAGCACCCGACTCACCGCTCACGAGAATGCTCTGCTCGATGCGCAGCTTGCGCATGTCCAGGTACGCTGATGCCGAGAGTGCGAACGGATGCGGGGTGAGGTCGCTTCGCGGCTGGTCAAGGTACTTTCGGTAGAGGTCCTACGTCCCACTATAAGCACCGCAAATTACCGACGGGCCGCAAACCTTGCCATAGAGGTCAAGCCACTTGTACGGGTTGACAGCAATGCAGATCTGGCCCGTGTATGTGTACGGGATGCTCTGCGCGTGGCGCAATTGCAGGTTCTTCAGGACCGCCGGCTCGTGCAGGTGGTTGAGCGTGCACATGTCCTCGACGCCGAGCTTCTCAAAGGTGTTGCAGATAGGCATCGCGGTCGAGGAGACTTCGCCCGCGAGCTTGGCGATCTCGGCGATCTCGAACGTCTTGACGACGCCGTCTTCGGGGTCGTAGCCATCGCCGTCGGCGAGGAGGCGCACGGTGACCGTCGTCTCGGTCGGCTTCTCGATGGCCTGGGCCTTCTTCCACACCTCCTTCTCATGGGGCACCCACACGAGCGACCCCATGGACTGGTCGCCAAAGGTAGAGGTCATGGCAACGACGACTTGTGCGAAATGAAGTACTGATGCTGACTTTCTCGGATGCTTTTGGATCTTGCGTGTGATTGGCTGGTGGCTTCGGGCGGCGGCCAGCGCGCGCAGGTATTCGCTCATAGAGTGCGATATTGAACGGGGATTGCCCGCGCCTCTAACCGCACCCGCTTCTAGCACTTGAAGTTTGTATCAAAAGATCGGTGACCACCCAGAGTGTACTGTTTTGTGGGAATCCGAGCGCGACACACTGCGGTTTAAAATTTGAGCCGTGCGACATAGAAATAGCAAGTGCATTTTAATTGGACACTTTGGAAGAGGCCGACCGCCTTATCCGGATCGTCCGCGCAACCGCCGCCGACATCGCCAACGACCAAGGAACGAGCGTGCGACTAACTAAACTTATAGATCGACTATTGCATTCTCCAAGACGTTGGGAGGATGCTTGGCACCATAGCTTAGCCCTTCATCGACGGAATCGTTCGATGAGCAACGGTCAAGGGCAGTACCGCACACGGATTGAAGCCACCGGAGATCAGAGTGAGATGCCAGCAAGGTTCGTCGACAAGAGCACCTTCAGCGCTGCTCGCGAGATATGTCAGAAATAGCGCTGCACCTGCGAGCGGAGCTGCATTCCATTTGCAGTCACGAGCACCCGACAGTGAGCCTCAAGGAGGCAGTGGGTCGCTGTATCCACGTGGCAGCATGACAGGCAGCCAAAATGAACCAAATTCTGGCTCCCATCGATCGCAACACTGGCATCGAGATGGTCACACGCTCCGAAGAGCGTGCTTGTGCAACCGGCAAATGACCGGCAAATGAGCGTGCTTGTGCAAGGCCGTAGTACGGTACTGTACGGTAGGAGCGCCTGCGACGTTATCGACTCGAATGGCGCCAGTGGGTTGAACGTCATTGCTCACGCAGCTTGCTCACAACACGTCCATTTCTCACGTGGTTTTCTACTTCACCGGATGTGAAAAACGCGAATCTCATGTGGGATTTGTGCGTCATTTGAGATCGGGCAAGCGAGATGGAGGTCGAGAAGGAAGTGGCGCAGCTCGCGATCGAGATCCGCCGGCTGGGCCGCGACGAGACGGCGGCCGACGGCAGCGTGGCCTTCGGCGTCACCTTTGGCGAGCTCTTTGACGACGAGCGCTGCGTTGACCTCTTTGAGGCGCTCATGGGCACGCTCCGCGCCGCCAAGCGCAAAAAGGTCATCGACTACCCAGGCCAACTCCTCCTCAAGGGCGTCAACGACAAGGTCTTCATCAAGTTGCTTTAAGAAGACGACGAATACGATCATTGCATGCATGGAAGATTGACTATTGCTGTTTGCACTCGGACTTCTCGGCTTCGGGCTCGGGCGCCGGCTCGCGCAGCAGCGCCGCGCTTGGCGTCACATTTCGCCCGGGCGTTCTCGCCGTCTGGCTCGGCGTCAACTGTCGTCCTGTTGCCGGCACTGTCGCATAGCTCTTGGCAGGCGTCGTGTTGAAGCCGGGGGGTGCGACCGGTGGCTGGAGAGCCGTTAGGGAGCTCGGCGAGTAGTCTTCGAGGAGCTTCTTGAGGTGTTTGACCTCGTAGTGCAGCTGGAGGTTCTCGTTGACGAGGTACGCTGGCTCGCTGTCCGCGCTGGCTTTGGCTGCCTCTTCGCTCGCCTGAAGAGCCTCCTTGCTGCGGCGGAGCTCGTCGTCGAGCTCTTGCAATTGCACTTCGTACTGCTCGATCGTGCTCTGGAGCGCGCTCGACTCGGCCGCCTTGATCTTGACTTCGTTCTCCATCGTCTTGACCGCAAGGCCCAGCTCGCCCTACATACTGCATGCGGCATGCTGCCCACCACCAAGTTCCCACGTACCACTTGATCTTCAAGCGCCGACCGCTTGGTGTGCTCGGCACGGAGACGCGCCTCGAGCTCGCGCACCTACACGCGGTCAATAAGCCTCGGCGACACTGCGTTGTATGGACGAACCTCGGCCTCGGACGTGCTTGGTCTCGCCGCGAGCTTGGCGCTCAGCGACGCAATCTCCTGTGTCTTCTTCTTGTTGTCCAGCTTGAGTGTCTGGAAGATCTCGAGGTGGTGCTTGGTCATCTTGACGAGCTCGAGCTTGGTGATGCGCGACCGGGCGACGTCGAGCTCGTCACGGACCGCCGTGTGCTCCTGCCGCAGCGTGCGCTCGCTTGTCTTGACCAGCTCGAGCTCTACGCCGTGCAGAATACATTGGCTCCTAAATACATTGCACTCGACTACCTTTCTGGATCTGCTTGTAGTCGGCTTGGAGCCCTTCGATCTGCTCGTACAACATGCCCTTTTCTTCGACGACCTGGGCGATCTGCTGCTCGGCGTCGATCTCCAGGCTGCGCTGCACCTTGCTGCGGTCCGTCTCCATCTCGGCCAGCGTCGCGCGGACCTCGTCCAAGTCCTTCTCAAGCACGCTCTTCTCGTATGCTTCTTCCTCGAGCGCGGTCGTCAAGCGCGCGACGTGCGCCTTCTCGTCGTCGAGAGCCCGCAGTTGCGCGCGCAAAGACGTCGCATCATTGGCACTGGCGTTCAGCTGCGCCTGGAGCTCGGTCACTTTGGCGTCCAATTCCGCCGTCGCGGCCGTCGCACGGCGCGCCGCATCGGCTTCCAGCGCCTCGTTGGCTGCCGTGAGCGCTGCCACTTGCTCGGTCGCGGTGGCCAGCGCCGCCTCAGCCGCCGAGAGTGCCTGGTGTTGCGCCACGCGCTGCGCGTACATCGCATCTTGGTTGGCCGAGAGCGTCTCCTCGAGCTTGGCCATGGCTCGTCCGTGCGCGTCGATCGCGTCGTCCTTTTCGCGAGCGCTGGCCTCGAGCGTGGCAAGGGCCAACTTGAGTGCAGTGCGCTCGTCGGCCCACACGCTGCTCTGCGCCGTCAACTCGGCCGCGTGTGCACTCGTTGCGTCTACGACCTCTTGCGCCAACATCCGGATCTTGTCCTCCAGCGACGTGATGCGGCTAGCGTGGAGCGCGTCTTCGCTGGCCACGGACGTCTCCAGCATGCGCTTGTCTTGCTCAAGGCGCTGGACCTGCTCGGTCAGCGCTTGGTGCTCGACTTGGAGCGTGTACAAAGTGCTTTGCAACGCGGCGGCTTCATCGGACGCAGTCGTCGCGCGGGTCGATCTCAGCTGCTCGAGGTCGGTCGTGAGCTCTTGCATGCGCGCTTGAAGCGCTTGCTTCTCCTCAAACGCTTGCGTCTCGAGGTACCCGAGCCGCGTGACCTTGTCTTGCGCTTCGGCCAGCGACAGCTCGAGGACTTCCATCGCACTGCACATGGAGGTATTTTCATGTTGAAGCGTCTCGAGCTGCGTCGCGACCTCGGCCGCGGCACGCAGCTTGGCTTCGAGCTCTGTCTTTTCATTGAGGAGCGCGTTCACTTGGGTCGAAAGCGCAGCCACTTGGTCGTTGACAGATCCGTCCGCCAAATGCAGCTTTCCTTGCAGTACCACGAGGTCTTCTTCGAGCGCAAGGCGAGCCGCGGTCGCCGCTGTCGCGCGGGCGTCGGCGTCGGCGATCTGCTTGCGAAGGTCGCACTCGACTTGGTGATGCGCTGTCTTGGTCGACAAGAGCTCTTCTTCGAGGAGACGCGCAATGGCCTCGGTGGACGCTGAGGCTTCACGCGCCGTGAGCATGGCGCGGCTATGCTCCGAGAGCGCTGTCTCGAGGTCCTTCTCGATCGACTGCAATTGAGTCATCAGCGCGCTTTCGACCGCGACCTTGTCGTCTTTCTCGGCTTGGAGCTGCTCGGTCAGTGTCGATACGTCCTGCGTGAGCTGGTCGACCTTGGCCTCCCACTCGGCGTCGTCGTCCACGCGCCGCTCCAGCTCCGCGTCCAGCTGCCGCTGCAGCGCCTCAAGTTGGAACTGGATGGCTTCTTTCTCCATCTGGACAGCCGCCACGTCCTGTGCACTGTCGTTCGCGGTCGCGAGCGTCTCGTTCTCGGACTGGAGCGCTTGGATCTGGAGGTCCCACTTATCCTGTGCGGCTGCCGCGTCGGCAAGCGCTTGCGTCAGCTTGTTCTCGGCCTCGTCCAGCGCACTCTGGAGCTGACCCACGACCTCAGGCTCCTTGGGCGGACCACGAAGCGCGTCGAGCTCCGACTCGTACTGGAGTCGCAACTGCGCATGCGTCTTCTCGAGCTCTTCCATGTAATGGTTTTGCTCGTCCAAGCGCGTCTGGAGGCTTGCGACCTTCTCGACGTCGCCCACCTGCGCTTCGAGCGCCTTGACCTTCTCGACCTCGTCGTTGTACGCCTCCTCGAGGTCGTTCCGGGTCTGGGACGCGTTCTCGAGCAGCTCCTCAAACGCCGCAGCGATCTTGGTTTGCTCGTCCAGCTTCTCTTCCAAGCTACCGATCGTGCTCGTCGATGCGTCGACAGTAGCTTGGAGCGCTGTGACGGCAGCTTCGGTGACCGTCAGCTTGTCCTTGAGGCTAGCGCGGTCCGCCGACATGGTTTCCAAGAGCGCTTCAAAGTCGCGGACCGACTCGTCTGCCGCGACGCAGTGCGCACACGTTGGCGGCTGCGCCTTGCTCTCTTCGAGAGCCATCTTGGCGGCGGCCAACTCGCGCTTGAGGAGCTCGACCGTGCGCGCGTGCTCGATCGCAAGAGCCGCGTCGACGACACTCCCTTCCGAGTACCGTCCCTTGCGCTTCTTGGCGACGCTGCCTTCTTCCTTCTCTTCGTCTTCGTATGCAAACCCGTGGCGGGCGGCGGAGGCGACCGCCGCGATCTCGCCGGGGCCCCACGTCTCGCGCGCGCGCTTCGTCTTGGTCTTCTTGACGTCACTGGGCTCGAGCGACGCGCGGCCCGTGACGATGAGGCCCTGGAGGCGCTCGATCTTCTCCTGCTGCCGCCGCTTCTCCTCCGAGAGCGCTTGGTTTTCGGCCAAAAGCGCATTGAGCGAGGTATCGCCGAGCAGCTTCTTGCGAAGGTCGTTGACTTCGCGCTGGAGCCGCTGCATCTGAGCGTGGTCGTCGAGTACTTCATTGACAGTCGCACTCATCTGGATCGTCTTGGCACGCGCCGCAAACTGCAGCGTGCTCTTGGACTCTTCGAGATGGCGGTCCGACGGCGTCACGCAGCACACGATGAGCGTGCGCGTCGAGCCTGCGAGTGAGTTTTGGAGAAGCCGCGTGAGCTTCGAGTCGCGGAACGGCGCGCTTTGGACGCTCTCGGGGCCTTGGGCGAGCGAGTTGATGACGCGCGCGAGCGTGAGCAGCGACCGGTTGATGTTGCCGGCCTCGCGCTGCCGCGCGCCTTCCGACGACGTGTGGCGCACGCTCTCCGAGCCTGCGAGATCCACGAGGTTGAGGACGCCGACGAGGTACGCGACGCCATCGTCCTTCTCGGGCCCGCGCTCCTTGGACTCGATCACGATCTGAAAGATGCTGTGGGACCGGCTCGAGTGCTCGTTCATGGAGGTTTGGCCCACGGCGCGGCGCGCGTTGCCTTGGTCGACGAGACGCATGATCGTATCAAAGTCGGTAATGAACTCCTCATGGGCCTCAAGGTAGATGCCTTTCTTTGGGTCTTCGCGGATCTTGACGTTCTGGCCCTTCTCCTTGTCGTCGCAGAGGAGGTCGCGAATGACTTCGTTGTAGATCTCCACGTACGAGACGCGAATGAGGAAGTCGCGGTCCGTCGAGTCGGCAATGTACTGGAAGATGTGCTGCACGGCCAGCGGGAGGATGCCGGGCTCGCCCGCCTCGCCCGTCATCGTGTGCGTCTTCCCGGACGACGTCTGGCCGTACGCAAAGATGGTGCCATTCACGCCCATGAGCGTCGAGAGCACGATGCGCTTGGCGACTTGGTCGTAGATGGTGCTTGTGGGCACGCGCTGCTGGAAGATGTGGTCGTACTGGAAGACCGCGGTCGGGCCCTGCAGCGGCGTGCCATGGCGGTCCGTGATCGAGATCGCGTTGAGCGCCGGGAGCACGCGGAGGACGCTCACGTCCTTGTTGCGCTTCTCGCGCTCGTTGAGCGGCCGGACCCGGATGCACACGTCGATGTTTTCCTCCATCTTGCGCTCTACCAGGCAATAATAAAATACCAGTCCCCCGCCATTTTGATTTTGAGTTTGAGCTTCATTTAAAAATACCGGCGTTGGCGCGCCATTGCAGCCAATCAGAGACGAGGACGAGACCGAAGATCGCCATAGCCAGGCCGCTGTCCCCTTGTCGTATCTGGTGCTGGAGCCAGACGCAGGCCCATCGCTTGCACTACCAGTGCGGCTCTAATCGAGGTCCTGGTGCCAGGCCCCCCCTAGCGTAAGGCACAGCCACCCGCGTCCACCCCTCGAACCTAGACGAAGAACCGCGGATTCTGGCGCCTCTTACAACCGGGTAGGGTGGGCCTGTGTTGTTGGCAACACTGCCGTTGCCAGGTCTCGTCGTTAGCTGATGGACGGTAGCTTATAATAGCAAGAGAACTAAATGCTTAGCGTTGTTGGTGACGGTCGAGAGGAAGCGTGGTCGACGCGTCGTTGGGCACGCCAGACCCTTTGCGCCGAGCTGCATGCTTGGGCACGGTGACCGACGCGGAGCCCTGGAGCTGAAGAGAAATCGCAAAAAAGTCGTCCGTATAGAGTGTAAAGTGGACGCAGACGCAGCCCGTCAAGAGGATATCCGATGGTGCAAAGTCCCAGATGGGCTCACTAAAGTGAATGTCGACGCGGCAGCGCCCCTCTACGTCGTCGACCATCGCCGTGTGTATTCCAACTACGCACCGACCTTTGCTCGTTGCATGAGGCACCAGAAGCACTTGCGGGCGTGGAAACGCTAATACGTCAAGAAGGCTCGGGTTCGATCCCTGGACCAACGTCACTCACCGCCAAAGAGGTGCTTGATCTTCATCGTCGCGACGGGGTCGCGTGCATAGGCGCCTGCCACGTCCGTGGGCAAGTACCCGCCGCAGGCCACGCGCCTAAGAAATGAGTTGTCCCACGCGTCGCTGTCAACGCGTACGGGTCTGCGCCCTGCTTCAGGAGCTCCTTGACACACTCGAGCTTGCCAAGGGCACTCGCAACGTACAGCGCTGTTCGCTACACCAAGTCGATGACGATGGCTCCATGGGAGTAGAGCAACGACTGTACCTTGTTGTCGCCCTGCGCATGCGGCCCATGTGAGATGAGCTTGGCCATAGGCATGAGAGAAGACGTACAAAGAGCTACGAGTACGGTGTGCAAGACACTGTGGTGGAACTCAAGGCCGTACCTTGACATAGCACAAGTGGCGGTGGGTCTGTAGTCGGTGGCGAAGTGCCTGTACGTCGTTGGCGACTATGGCGCGGTAGATAGCCTCGACGGCCGGCGCGTCCTTCTCTCTCGTAGGCGTCACGGCGTGCCCGTACCGGGCGACCCACCAGTTGACGTCGCGCCGAACGTGCTGGACGGGCTGCTTTTGCTTCTCGAGGCTTTTGGCTTTGGCCAGCAGCGCTGCCAGCTTGTCGCCGCCCATGTTGTAGTCGTTACGGCTGAAACGATCGGCGACGCAGGTCCTTGCAGCGTCGGCGTCTCTGTCTCGTAGAGCCCAAGCCTTGCGGCGAAGGGACCATCGTCATCACATCGCTTCGACACCATGTCGCTTGACAATATTAGAACATGCATGACTTGATCTTGCATTATGCATGGGTTAGCAGCGGGGCCCACGGGTCCTCCAAGAACGACGGCTGGAAGAGCGACCGACCAAAGCCAGCGCTGCCCGACGCGCCTCGGGGCTGGCTCTCACGAGGTGGCCGCCCTTCCAGGAGCTCGCGCCACGGGTCCTCAAGAAAGGATTCTTTAAAGAAGCTCCGTCCAAACCCGCTCGTTGATGACGCGGCTACTTGCGCTGGCTGCGGGCGGTAGTGCGACGTTGCATGCGAGCTCGGCTGGTGTCTACATACCATCGTCAGCGTCCACGCCTTCTCCATGCGTTGTACCGCGGGCGCTTGCTGCGCGGGTTGGCGTGGCCTACGCTGCGCCGCTCGTCGCCACTGTCCTTTGCTTTCGCCTTGGCCTTGGGCACATACAGCGGCTTCTTGGTGCTCTGGAAGCTCGTCGGTAGCTCGTCCATCGCTCTCTCTGTCGGTCGCGACTATACACTATTTCACTCGTGTCGAGGTCGCCTTGAACTTCACACTATTTCACGTAGAAAGGCCCGACTCTAAATATAAACATCCCATACATTGTATGCGATATAATAAAATATGCCAATAAAACGATCGCGCCGGCTCGTTTCAGTTCGAAACCGTTCGACCTATTGTTCCTGCGGATGATGGAGTCCAAGGTCTCGGCAACGCGGCTGCCGTCGGCGCGGACGCTGGCCGCCGAGGACCCGCGTGGCGAGGCCGCGCTCAAGCAGCTGCGCAAGCTCTTCGAGGACGACAACTTCTCCATGGACGACGTGGCGCTGCACTTTCTATCGCTGTACTTCATGCGCCTCTCGACGAACGCGGTCATCCACGAGGTCGAGTCGCTCTTTGCCGAGCACTATGCAACGCTGCAGCACAAGTTGCACATTCGGGGCATCTGGGCCTGGGTCATCTTTCTCTCTGGCACGGTCCTGTACGACTACCTTAGCCTCATCGAAGGCTACGGCAACATGTTTACGACCGACCTCATGAGCTCCAGCAACCCGAACGCCAAGCTAGCGTTCATCATAACGCTCGTGCTGCGCTTCGCGGTGGTCATTCCGCTGCTGTTGATCAACCTCTGGTCGGGCTACCGCGAGTCGTACAAGGTGCACATGCGCTACACGTGGGTCTCGCACATTGCGCTCGCGCTCTACCCGGTTGTCTACAACCTCCTTACGTTCGACTTTGGCGTCTCGTGGCTCTGCCTCGTCATCATGTACTTTTACAGCTTTACGCCCATTCGGTTCCTTCACGCAGCCCTCTTCAACATGCTCCTCCTTGGCATGTACGCCGCATTAGCCTACGGCGGCGTCCTCTCGTCCGACAAGATTGACACGTTCCAGCGCGAGTGGCTTTGGGCACTCCTCTTCTTTGCCCTCATCTCGTACCCGAGGTAGACGCCTCCTGCTTCTGGATGCATGCAGTGAACGTGTCAT